CCCCAAAACCCCAAAACCCCGTGAATCAAAATTTTAATTTCTCAATGATAAAACTAATTTTTAAATGAAATATTAAAGCTTTTAACTTCCAAACTGAATATTAAGAATTACGTATTGAATCAGTGGAGGACTACCTATTAATTAGCCTAACCATCAGATTCCTAATAAAGTTCATATCTTAATAAATATTTGTCTATTTTCACAGTTCACTGCTAGCTCATTATAAGTTTTAAATCATTTCCTTTGGGAATATAATCAATGGTGTATTTATAATACTAATTCCGTAGAACTTCTATTTATCTAAAATCTTCATCTACATCTTGTATTTAAATACAAGTATCATCAATGATAGTTATATATTCTTATAGAAAGCATTGTGATGCAATGTTTAAGTAATGCTCTATATTATTCTAAGAAAATTGAAGGTCTCCGAGATCATTGGCAAGAACAACATTAGAAATTTTTCTATTTGCTCTCATTACGTCTTTTAGATTTAACTGAAATGTCTATGATTTTTAACTCTCTAGATCTAAACGATTCTGAGAGGTCTTATCCCTGTTTATTTGTTAAATATTTGAGAGTCTATATAAAAAGGATCCAAGATCTTGATTTGAGCTATCCATTGATTATCTGAATTTAGTTTATTTCCTCATTTGATTGATATACTAAGTCCTCTCGATCATATCTTGTTAAGAAATTCTAGCAAGAGTCCGAGCTCTAATTTAATTATTCATGACAATATCACTCACTTAGGAATTATTAACTGTTGGCTCATCTTGCTTTATTATGGGATTGATATTATTATTATTATCATTACCCAGTATGATTCCATTAAAAAATCTATTTGGCTTTACTTTAGGTTTATCTGGACTTACTTGCCATTGCTTTTGCTTTTAGATTGAGTCGCTATTAATCATATTTGTACTGATTACCTTTCTATCTGCTGCCTAGTATAAATTTTTTTAGGTCAGCGATTTCTTGGTTTATAAAAGTTAATTTCCTTTAGCTTTTAGATAATATTTGTTTCTACTGAGGAAATTTTTGAATATATACTCTTTTTCTGAATATGAGTTATACCAGTTATCATTTGGTTAAGTCCAGTCCATAACCCAGCTAAAACTTTTCAGACTATTAGGATTAGCTTAAGTTAGTTCACTTATGTAGTAAGCGTAGTCAATATTATTTGGATCTTTGAGCTAATGAGTATGCTTTAATAATCTTCTAAAAATACCTAATAAATTAAATCTAGATAAATACATTTTGACTCAGATTACTCTAGGTATGCTTGCATCTGCTACTTTATTTACCTAACTTTTCGGAATGAGTCATATTGATTATTAGTTATTTTCTAATTAGACCAAGGCAGTCTACCTTCTGATAAATATATCATTAAATACAAGATGGATACAATATCATCAGCTCGCTGTATTTCTAAAAAATAATATTAAATACGCCTAGTGAATAGTTTCAAAAATAAATAAGCTAAATCTGATTTATCCTTACATTTTCCCAGCATTTAATTTGCACTGCTAAAAGCAATATTACCATTAAAAAGTCTTCTTCGCTGTTTTTGTTTATCGTTGCTATTATCTAATGCAGGCTCTTGATTTGGAGCTGCTTCTTATAAACTTAAAGAAATCCCAAAATCAATTAAGCATACAAGAGAGGATCCACAATCTTCGAAGTCATCACATTCAAGAAGAATATTGTCTGGTTTAATATCATAGTGCGTATAACCAGTGTTATGTAATTATTCTAAGTCAAACACCTAAATATTAATTTTATAGCATTTTTATATAAGTAAACTTACAAGCTAGACTCCGATTTATAGGACGGTAAGCATAGAAAACTTTTCCTACCTTTCTTAAATAATATCCTATAGACTTTTGCCTAGTTTTCCCATTACAATGAAATACATTCCATTAATCATTTGCCCATTACTTCTCAACTATGGTAAGCCTATAAGAAGACATATAATCCCAATAATTTTTACCATTAAATTCCTAATCTTTTACTTGCTATAGAATATATATCTCTTTCTCATATAACTCTTTTTCTTATATCTAATGATAAATTAATAAAGATGGAAAAATGAATTACAAACTTGATAGCAACAATTTGTCTCTCTTCATCAATTGCTGACCACACGGCTGCCTGAGAGCCTTGACCAATTTTTTTTACCAATGAATATTTATCATCAATAACTAATCCCACATCTATCATCCAGCAAGCTAGTTGAATAAAATACTATTACAATTATTAATTATTTAATCTAATCTTTTAACCTTGACGTATAGATGGATTATTGAATTGATTTACTATTTCTGCATTCAAGTTTAATTTTCTCTATTACTTGCTCATGGGGTTTTGGGGTTTTGGGG